GTTTGATGACAGAATTTTTAATAGATTATCAATCAATCTTTATAACGAGACATGGATTTTATCAACTAACTTATTATTTCACCAATATATATTATTATCATCTAACTTACCAGACATATTAACCCATCTCAGAATCTCACCTTTTAATAAATCAAAACGATAATTAATATATACAAATCATAATAGTTATATCAAGATTAAGAATGTAAGTACATTTAATAGTTTAGAGAATATGTCTTTGTCAGTCGGTCTAAAACAACAATCTCTACTCGGTCCCGTTCAATACATATAAAATGTACTAGCACAAAAAGTTGGAACTATACCGTTCCCATAATCAGGACAAATTACATATAATCTTGTGCTACACTCGTACCAGATGGCATGTCCAATTTCCATCCTAGACGGCGAACAAAAAACTTTATACTTATAAGAACCGATGATTTAATCCTTTGTGTATAAGCTAAAACTCTATACACTAAATCATCTACTATATAAGTAAATTGACACCATAAATGAATATATGATCTATTAAATTTTAGCAAATATTTATTCTCTAATAAATATTATTTCTTAACACATGGTTAATAGTATATAACCCAACAGACATGACAACCTAACGTCCAGACACAAAACGAGCCTTTACAGTGGAGTTAATACTCCTGAGAGACCTTATCTGAGTCATTTGGTTCAAATTCAAGTTGTGATGGAATAAGTTGTGATGAGATTATATTTTATTGAGTGTTTCTTTTTTGTATTAAAATTAATAAATTTTAAGAACAATTTATTTGTTTAAAAAAATACCCGAATGTAAAAAGTAATGTAACAAAAGTGTTGAAGAGATATTTTTGTCATTTACTTATTTTTTTCCGGGATTACTATACCACCCAAAGGGAGGGATAACTTATGCTGGTACTAATTATTAATTCCATGATAAGTTATTCTGGACTTGCCAACCAAACAACAAATTAAGTGGTACTATAATTTAATTTAAGGACTATTTGGTATTATCCTTCACACCAAACGATCCCTAAGAGTTTTGGCACATTGAAATGCCATAAACATGGATAAACATAGAGGTAACAATAGCTAGATTTGTTGAGAATAGAAAACATTTGGGTGAGTTTGGTATGAAACATGTTTTTCAATTTTTTCATGTTTGTGTGTGAAGAGAAGGGTGTGTTTCTGATTCTTACATACTATACGTAGAGAAGTCATTATTCTTAAATTGGGGGAAATAATTAAGGTCAGGATAAATAGTATGTATCAGATCAGAGTTAGAGTCGAATCTCAGGTTAGGATTGGGATCTGGGTCACGTCGAGCATCAAGTCCAAGGTCTAGAGTCGAAACTTGAATTAGGGTCAGGATCAAGAATTGGCTCCTAGATAGGAGGTCTAAAGTCAGGGTTGAGGTTGAGAGTTGGTCTCGACTTAGGGGTGAGATCGAGGTTGAGATTAGGAATTAGGTTTCGAATAGGGGTCGGTGTCGGGAGTTTAGTCATGATTGGTTAGGAGTTAGTGTTTTAGGTCAGGTTATCTGGTTTTGATTTGGGTGTAAGTCTTAGAATACGGTTAAGGTTATGACCCAACTTCCTTCCCTAACTCAGAATTTGACTTTTGGTCCTGACTTGGGACCATGGTCAAATCTCGACCAACTCACTTGCTTCCCCATCTCGACTTTCAACCTCGAGACCTGAGTTCCGACTTTTGATCTGAGACATCACTACCTAACTCCCAACCTGAAACTCAAACTTATCCTGACCTTGACTCGAAACCTGACCTGGGATCAGGTTTTGGCTAAAAGCCAGGTCTCGAATCTCAATTTGGGATCAGGTTCGAGTTTCGATCACTCTCAAGTAGTGGTTGGGATCGGTTATCAGGTTAGGGTTAGCCCAGATTGAGGCAGTTCGTGTCTTAGGTCAATATGTTTGAATATTCTAATAAGAATTAATAACAAAGTGGTTATAATAATACTTAAAGGAATTTGTAGACTCCGTCTCAATATATTTTTTCTAGTTTTCTCTTCGATGAGATTACTAAAAGGAGATTTTTGGGAATTTCTTCAAGAAATTTTTGAATTTCAGTGAAACCATTAGCAAATTCATTTTAATCTTTTCTAATAGTATGCTGTATGTATGTCTGTATATTGATTGACATAAATATATAATTGGTCGTTTGACAAATATTTAATGTTACAAAAACAAAATAACAGAGATTCCTTAATTAGATATGAGCATAACAATTTAGAGGTTCTAAATTTTATACACTGAAAAATTTAAGTTCTAAATTTTTTTTTCCTTCTTTTATTTCGTTTTAGAAAGGGAAAAAAAAGAGCAAATATCTGACTTGTGCCGCTCTTTGAATTCGCTGAAATTTTATAATTTGAAGTACCACTATTATTTAGAATCTTAGGTGTTTGTTTTTTTTAATTTTTTTTAAAGCATTAGTATTATAGAGTTATTTTTTTTTATCATTTTGAGAGGAATTATTCTTAATCTTTAGTAATAATGAGGAGATTATAATCATCTAATATTTCTGAACCGTGAAAAATAATTTAACTTTACTATTTTAATTACATATATTGATTTAAGGATACTAGAAGATAACATTAAGTAGAAATTCATTTTACAAATACAAGGTAAAAAAAATTAGAGTATGAGCTAGGAATACATTTGGAAACATTTACTCATAGTCATAGGTACAATTTTGCATTTGAAATTTTGGATCAATCTTATATTGAATTACTATTTCTGTTCCTCCTATTTATTTCTCGCTTTCTTAGGTTTAATATTATATGTTGAGATTTAAAAAAAACAACTTTTTCATATATTCAAAATATATATATATATATATAAATATATATATATATATTTATTGATATACGTGTTATGATAGTGAAGTTTGTAAGTAGGTATAGTCACAAACTCACAATATTTTGGATCATGACTTGTCTAAAAAGTCGCTTTTAAATCTCATTTTTGCCTACAAGTCACAAGTCTTATTTTCTTGTAAAATAGGTATCATAATTTAAAAAAGAAAATGACAATTTTTGCATCTAAGTCTTAAATAATACAAAATAGTTCCCAGCTTTCAACATTTCTTGAAAAACGCTAGAATTATTTTTCCCATTATTGTTCCTAGCTTTGACACACAAGAGAATAACAACTCAACACAACAAGGTTGTGCAAAAAAAAATCTACAAATCACTCAAGTTTGATTTTCCAAGTTTACGTCTTTAAATACTTTTTGTGAAATTTTTAACCCCCCTATTGTTGGATACACTTATATTAAATTAAAAATCATCAAGAAGATTTAAATATCAAACTGATACTTAAAATCAAATTTAAGTGTCTAAGTATATAGCGTACTATCAGTGGACACCCTTCGTCTGAAAAAATACAGCATATACAAGTAAAATGATAGATGAAGTGATTTATTAATATATTTTGGACATTCATGACATAATAAGTTGTTATAGCCTAGTGGTTTAAGATGTCTTGAATGTGGGTTTAAACATCTTTAATGAGACAATGCTCACGTATTCAAATCTCACTTGCAACAATTTTTTCCCCTTTTTAAAATGAGCTTTTGTTGTTTAATTTTTGGACCCTCTTTATAAAATTTCTGGCCTCGCCACTAAGCACTGTCCATACGATCAAAATGCATGAAGCTTGCTTTGCACGTGAGATGGATATGGTGTGTGTTCTTCCTAAATAAAATAACTAAACTTAATATATATATATATATGTATATATATATATATATATAATTTTATTTTGCACGTCTTTAATCTATATACTATTAATTATATGATACTTCTTCTATTTTGAGTTGTAAAGTACAGAATTGTTGGTTTCATTCTACCAATTGTACTTTCTTTCCTATCATTTTAGGTTGAAGGTTCAGGAGTAGTGGTCCGAATTTTTTATAAGGAATATAAAATTTGAAAAATAAATATACGAACTAGTGAAATCAGATTTTATATTTAAAAAATAATTTTATTTTTCGCCAAAGAAGGTTCGGATGAACCACACACTATATGTTGCCTCCGAATGTGGAGTATGTACATCTTATTTGATTTAAGTTTGGACATATTCTTTTTCTCAAGTTATCTAAAAATACAATTTTATATAATTTAAAAAAGCATTATATGAATCAGCATAATTGACAATTTCATATATTTGAATTATATCGTTGTCAAAAAAAATGTTTGATCTTCTAACGGAGAGACGCAACTTGTAACTTTTTGCACCACAAGATCAATGAAGGCAAAGTTTAAATTGATTTTTTGTATAAAAAAATGGAGAGAGATGATTACTTTGTACACAGCTTTTAATTAAGGTTCATATTTTCATTAACTTTCTTATTAACAAAAAATTTAGTATGATCTTTTCTCCATCAAACGAACTATTATTACGCAATTACTTTAATATTTCTTTATATATTATTTTAAAAACAAATATGTGACATAAATTTAACTTGGTACCCAACTTAAGAAAAAAGAATGAAATTAAATGAGCGTATAGACATTGTTCTAGAATTGTGCATTGCTGGCAGGCAGTAACGAAGCCACATGTATTCGAGGAGTATCAATCGACAATTCTACATTTAAAAATTATACGATATAATTAAATAAAAATATATAATTGATCAAAATTCTGAATAATGTATATATTTTAACTCGTACAATTATTTTTTTATATTTTAATATCTGTTAATCGAAATTTTGACTCCATCACTGACGGAGTTACGTACATAACGTGAACATGCATGGCCACATCAATAGCTGTCATGTATGCCCGCACATATATATAGTTTTAAGGCTATTACAAAGTTCTTATTTTGAAGATTAATAAGTATGATTTTATAATAAAGTAAGTTAGGTTAAAAGCTCTTATTATGTCATACTGCTTAAAGGCTTAATTATTAGTAACAAATTTTTATTTTAGCCAACCCCTATAAATATCTGCCCAACCACATTAGTTCCTTGTCACAAAGTACCACATATCTTCAATATTCTCTCATCTTCCTCTCTCTACTTTTTTTTTTTTGGTTTACTTTTTCTCTTCATCTTTTTTTTTTTAAAAAAAAAAAATTATAAAAAAAAAGATGGATAAAATATGCAACTCTCAAGATGTTGAAGTGAGGAAAGGGCCTTGGACTATGGAAGAAGATTTAATTCTCATTAACTACATTGCTAATCATGGTGAAGGTGTTTGGAACTCTCTAGCTAAATCTGCTGGTAACTTTTCTTTTTTTAAGCGAAACCCTAGATATCGAAAAAATAAAAGTTACGGCGTATTTTTATTACATCAAGAGAGTGATAGGGTTTGAGTGTATCACCTCAATTGTGAAAGACTCTGAGCTCACTAAGTGAACGTGAACTTGAACTTGAACTTGAACTAATCTATTCAACATGTATCTTGGTATTCTTTTGTTACATGTAAAAGAAAATTGTTTAATTTTCTAACATATTATATATATCTATGTCTTTGTTTCTTTAGGTCTCAAACGTACTGGAAAAAGTTGTAGACTCCGATGGCTAAATTATCTTCGACCTGATGTCAGGAGGGGTAATATTACACCTGAAGAACAACTTTTGATTATGGAACTACATGCTAAGTGGGGAAACAAGTGAGTACATATTATTATTCTAAAGAGTACTACACATAAATTAACAAATAAAAATTGGTGTGAAATTTTGTCCATCAAGTATTCGATTTTCCCATGTGTTTTTTTATTGTTGAGTGGACTAAGAGAGCCACTCCATAACATATAGTCCCATATATGTTCATAGTACTAGATTTGAGAAGCAATATTTAAAACGTGATGGAATTTAATTTCTTTATGGAAGATATGAGAATTCAAACGTGGAGAATATAATCTAAGGCACTTTATAATTTATGTTCCAAACAAGTTTAATTTTCCCCTTTTTTTTGTTTCATAAAAAGATTTTTTTTAAATATCTTCTTCAAAAACTTTCATCTACTTTATGTCTTCCAAGAATAAATTTTTTAAAAAGATGCATTACAAATTTTTCTTTTCAAAATTATTTTTGAGGTCTAAAGAAACTATAGTACTTATTATAACAAAGAAAAGTACTTTCATAATTTATAATTAAGAAGCAAATCATGTTTCTCAAAGATAAGGTACAATATTTTGTGTCATTTTCTATTTTTAGGTGAGGGAATTAATTATTTATAAACCTTTTTTTGGGCTTAACTAATGTATGTTAAAGTTAATTATCACATGAAAAGTAATTTGATGATGTTGATTAACTTGTATGAAGTGATTAGAAAGTAAACTATGCTATAAAAAGAATAAGACCATTAATTTTTCTTTTTTTTTCTTTTTAACTCATGTTTAGGGAGCTACTATCCTTTTCTTTTCTCTCTCTCAGTGATTCGAACTAACAACCATCGAGTTGAAACTGAGAGACGCTTATCATCTGAACAACTCAGAATATTAATATTTCGTTTTCTCAAGAAAACGGAAAAAGAAAAGGGACAGTGGTGAGACAAGTATTCGGTATAACATAATAGCAGTGTGATATAAAAACACGTTGTTTAAGTGAGCCAGAAAGATAGAAGTTTCCATTTAAAGAAGAACCAATTTCATTTCACTCACATGTCAATGACTTTTATTATCCCACCTCCAACTTGTCTATGAAATTGACAGCTACCTTATTTTCTTATTTTTAAATGGACCCTTCCGTCTCAATTCATGTGATATTATATAAATTTTTAAAATTAATCACAAAGTTTTTTTTAATTGAAATTTCAGTAAACATATATCTTTTAAATATTTTAAGTTGTTGATTATTGAATATTATAGCAACTATTCAATATATAAATTTTATTAGGCCTCCTTTAATATGTAATGGGTAACTAAAATGATTAAATGATCATCAGGGTTTAAAATATATTATAATTAAATAATTAAAAGTGTGCTTCGTAAGAAAGTTTTAACTTTTATAAATTGATATTATCGAAGGTATAAATATGTGAATAATATTTTTTACCCTTTATGTTTTTAGCGAAGAAAGGATCGTCCAGTATAATTTCGTATAATATAAGAGTAGACAAAAGTCTTAGCTTTGAAAGTCACTTTCACCTTTTATCCAAGAAAAAAAAACAAATTATCGTGATTGACTCGTAGAAAAAGTTAAGCTCACACGTGAAAGGGTCTACCTCAACAAAAATATACTCGATTTAAACTTTTAAATAAGATGGTCTGACATTTCAACAAAAGCTATATAACAACTTCCCTACTTCTTGTTTGTGTATACATGCTTAAAGAACAACATATATACAAAACAAAGACACTAGCTAACTTGACTCACACTTTGTGTGTTTTGAGTATATACTAATGTGTTTGATTATCAAAATTGAAAATATTTTTATGATATTGGAGCAATAGTATATAATAAAACGTACCATAAATATAATGTGGCTAGTGATAGTGCATAACATGAATTACCAAAAAATTAGTTGTGGTGGATTGAACATTGCAATGACTTCTGAATTCTTCTTGGCTTCAACTTGTGGCTATTTTATAGACATAATATTTGGTTTGAGTGTGTGTATGTGTGTGTGTGTTCTCTAGTTTCAACGTTTTGGTTGAGTTGAGTTTAAATAAATAGGAAGAGGCAAATGGGACTTTAATGTTTAAAAATTCCAACCATAGAACGTGACAAGCATCTTTTTCTACTACAAAACGTGATTGAAATACTTTCAATTATGAAAAAAAATAAATATAGTAACTAGTAATCTAACTTTGTGGGCCATGATCATCTTACCAACATCTTACATAACAAATTAAACTACTTTATACTATCCTTTAATAGGTGTACTATATTATAAAATTTATCATGGTTTTACAAGCTAACCAAGTGTATAGATAACATATACATATTTAGTCTTGAATTAATCATCGTACTGGTATTTGAACTATATCTGAATCAGATTCAACTGAATCCATTACTTTCAGACACATAGAAAAAATAAAAATTAGATAGTATTCGTCGTAAATACACTAACTCTAAATTTTGGATTCAATTTATGGTATAGGTGGTCAAAAATTGCGAAGCATTTGCCTGGAAGAACGGATAACGAGATAAAAAACTACTGGAGGACTAGGATTCAGAAGCACATTAAGCAAGGAGAGAACATGAATGGACAAGGAAGTTCAGAGCAAAATATTGATCATCAAGAAGGAAGTAGTAGTCAAATATCATCAGTTGGTCAAGCAGATAACATAGAGACTTACTCTCCAACTTCATACAATGGAAATTTGGACACTAATTTTCAAGCCTCAAATTTTCTCAATGAAACAAATGACAACATGTGGAGCATGGAGGATATCTGGTCAATGCAATTGCTTAATGGAGATTAAATCAAGTATGTTTGGAATATTTAATTTGAGTAATTAATTAAAACTTAGATTGAAACCATTAGTAACGTATTATGAATATTAAGCTGTTAGATATTACAGCTAGCCTATATTATATAGTGCTAAAAAAATCTGCATAATTTGAGTTCTTTTTAAGTGTTCCAATGTGTAATATATATGATGAACTCTTTTATATATATATATAATATAACCCTGTTCATATTATTTTAATAATATATAGATGTACGGAGGTAATGCCTATATTTTCTACGTATTAACATATAGTTTAGTCATGATTCCGCGACTCAAATACATGACCTATGTATCATACCTTTTTCTTTTGTGTTTCGATATTATATGTAAAAATAATTTTTGTAGTAAAATTTTTCGATAAAAGGAATGCAACTGAATATTTAGAGATGATGCTTTACCTAACATATCATATAAGTACCTTTCTAACTTTTTAGTTAGTGTACTAAAAACAATGTCATGATCAAGCAATAATGATTATGTGTCTTAATCTAAAATCTAAAAAACCTAATCCTTTTAATAAAAAAGTTATGATGTACTTGTAGTTAATCATTAAAAGAAAGTGTATCTCACCAACTACTCATCTAATTAAGCTAAGTACTTTGTTGATAGGAATTAAGTCTCTATTTGACAAAGATAGAAACTGATTAGACATTTGAAATGCTACATTTTATTAAGGGGTTTGGTAATTTCACAATTTCTTGGGATATTAATCATCCATGCAAATCTCACATCGTATCGATAGTTTTACTTTTATCATGACTCGATAACTTAAATCACACTATTAAATTATTATGTGGTTTTACGCAGTTATTTCAATAAGAATATATTTCCTAGCATCTATTTTCCTATTGTGAGCTGGTTTGATGGAAATGAAGCGTGGAAATCATGTTTTACAACACAATTTTTCTTACTGATTCGCGATGAAGAAAACGTTTGTTTCTATTGTCCAATTTTTTTATATGCATCATGAAGAGACTTGAGGATGCATGATGAGGCATGTACGCACACACACACATATAAATATAATGTATTGATGTTCCAGCATATACCAAACTAAATTAATGAAAAATAGACACATGGAAAGGCAATATATCTATTTTAGGAAAATTCAATCTTAGCTTTCCATATTTAACTATATTTGTGCATGGCCTTGCATGTTTAAAGTTGGACGTAAGCCTAACTCTTGAGTCCTTCAAGGGAAGTCTCCACATGGTCCCAATCAGTATCACTATCTACTTTCTTCTTATTTTTTCTATCATATTAATTAATTCATCTTTATTAATTATTGACTACTTTATTTCCCTTAATGTAACTTTCTTATATCAACTTCCAAAACAACCCTAATTTAGCATTTAAACATTCATAAACTTAGTGTGATTAGGCCCATGATCCTTGTTTAGGAAGGCTAGGTTATGTCATGTCATTGTCACCTTGTAAACTGATTTAGTTATTGGACATGAATTGTCTAAGTTCTTTAATTAATTGCTTTTTGTCATTATTGTCATATGGTGTGTATAGAGAGCTTTTGGAATTGGATATATGGTTGGTAGTAGAAGATGAATTTCAACCATGCATTTTTTTATTCCTTTAATTATAAGGTAATTACTGATAATCTTTTGATACTATAAGTGGTACATTAATTTAGTAACCTATAGATAGGATAAAACATTATTATAAATTATTATTATTCGGTAATATCGTGTGAGTAAAGGTAACTTACTATGGTGATACTAAGATTGAAAAAATAAATTATGAAAATATGACTTGTCTAATCCGATCTATGTTTAGTTTATGAACTCGATCTATTTTTATTCAATCTAATTTAGCTCATATAAAAATTTAGTTATTTGTGTTATGTATTTGTGAAATTGGCATCGTATGAATATTTATTCTTTTCTTTCTCTTTCTTATGTTAATATGAAACTGCACTAAAGTTTTGCCTAAATTATTTTTATCCATATATGCATCTGATTCCTGATTTTTAATATTTTATGAATAACTAATGATTGTTAATTCATTTTTTATTTGGTTAACGACAACATATAAAAAAATCATTTTAGGCTCTCCATTTGTTGTTTTATATTTGAAATCTTTCTTTTCATCTTAAATTGATATTTCTAACTATATTCATGTCAGAAAATTGTATTTGTGTATTACAAAAGGGATACATCTATTATGAAATTATATTCGTTTCAATTGATACATATTAATATATCAACTAACTAACAAGATATATATATATATATATATATATATATATATATATATATAC